CGACACACCGAGGGGTGCCAGCCCCCCCTCTGCCCTCCCCACACCCCCGGAGATCTTGGGGCCGGCTTCTGCTCCCCTAAAAATTGGCAGAGAGGGGATGGAGGGGGTGAGAGCATCCTGAGAGGGGGGAGAGGGATGGAGGGAGGGAGGGACAGAGGGATGCAGGGATGGAAGGAGGGATGAGGGAGGGATGAGGGAAAGGATACAGGGATGGGGGGAGGGATGGAGGGATTCAGGAAAGGATGGAGGGATGGAGGGATTCAGGGAGGGATGGATGGAGTGATGCAGGAAAAGGTACAGGGATGCAGGAAAGGATGGAGGGATGGATGGAGGTACAGAGGGATTCAGGGAGGGATGGATGGAAGGATGCAGGAAAAGGTAGAGGGGTGCATAGAGGGATGCAGGAAAGGATGCAGGGATGGATGGAGGGAGGGATGGAAGGACACAGGGATGGAGGGAAGGGGGGATGCAGGAAAAGATACAGGGATGGATGGGGGGGAGGAACGGAGGGATACAGGGATGGGTGAAGGGATGCAGGAAAGGACGCAGGGATGGATGGAAGGATAGAGGGATGGAGGGAAGGGGGGATGCAGGAAAAGATACAGGGATGGATGGGGGGGAGGAACGGAGGGATACAGGGATGGGTGAAGGGATGCAGGAAAGGACGCAGGGATGGATGGAAGGATAGAGGGATGGAGGGAAGGGGGGATGCAGGAAAAGATACAGGGATGGATGGGGGGGAGGAACGGAGGGATACAGGGATGGGTGAAGGGATGCAGGAAAGGACGCAGGGATGGATGGAAGGATACAGGGATGGAGGGAAGGAGAGATGCAGGAAAAGATGTAGGGATGGATGGAAGTACAGAGGGATGCAGGAAAGGGTACAGGGATGGATGGTGGGATACAGGGATGGAGGGATACAGGGATGGATGGAGGGATACAGGGATGCACGGGCCAGGCAAGGGCCCCGGGACTGGCTGGCACGGGGACAGCCATGGGGAGGGTTGGGGACAGCACGAGGGGCGCTGGCAGAGGGGGGAGGAGAAAGAGGGGGGTCCAGCCCCCCAGATGGTGGGGCCAGGAGGCTGCCCCCGCGCCGGCTCTCTGCTGCGCTTCCCAGCTAATTGAGTGAAATGGCTGTCAGGGATGTAATTAAAGGGGAGCGGGAGCGCTCGGGCAGGCCTCAAACAGATGGAAGGCCCCTTAATTGGTAATTAAATTCCTCCCTGGCAGGTGAGATGGAGCAGCAGCCGGGGCCCCACAAGGCCGCTGGCAGCCGGGGCCCCCCCAGATTCGGAGGGGGGGGTGGGCAGAGCGGGTCCCCTGCACCACCAGAGCTGAGGGGGGGGTGTGACACAGCGGGGGGGG